TATATATATATATCCTTTCATCTTGTGCTCATAAAATTTTTCTAGAGATATTTATCCTTAGACCAACAATTATATTTCCAAGGAAATCAGAGAATTGTTTGCATTTTCTCCATAGATCTAGTCTAATATACTAGAAGCTGAGCAAAACAGACCGTTCTAAGGATAGGCCTTGTAGTGCCCAAAGCACTTAGTGCTATTTTTACTCTGGCTTTTGTATTAAATTTGTGAAAGTAAAACGAATAAGGAAGAAAACAAGAGGAAGGGAGAAAAATATGCTTGTGAAATATACTGGTCATGTAGCTTTACTGCTTAACAGCCTGCCTTCTCTCTGCTGGTTGTTTTAATTTGCTGTTGCTATGGTGAAAACAAATCAATATCACATGGCTACCAGCCAGTCCTGCGCTCGGGGAGCGCCATAGAAATTTAAGATCTGCTACTCAGGCTTACAAGCAAGAATTGGGAGAAGAGGATTTAGATATTGCGCTGAAAACAATTCCACAGAGTAGAATGAGTAGGGTCAATCTTATATGCATTTTCTCTTTCGTTCTTCCTACACTCCTACCGATAACAAGAGATGGAAAGAAAAGCATATGTTTACATTTTCTAAAATAAAACAGTATCAACATGGAAGTAGGTAGGGGACATTGCAAGGGTTAAAGGACTCTGATTAATGAAAAGATCCTATAAGTGCCAGACATATTGGTTGTTGAAAGCATAGTCTGGGGGCCACTGACATCTCTAGGTGCACGTCAGAGCTGGCTGGTTCAGGCAGAGAACTCCAACAGCAAAGCAGCTGCTGGGCAGTGGAGACGAAGGCTGTCGTGGGAGGGTGGAGAGGCAGGACCTCAAACACAAGAGAAAGCTGCAGTCAGAAGTTAGGCCAGGTGAGCACAGAACCCCAAGGACATGAGAGAACAGAGACAGAATCTTTTCCCATTTTCATAAAATCTGCCTGGAAAGAGGGGAAGAGGCTCCCAGGAGAAGAAGTCAAGAGTGGTAAGCCCAGGATCCTTCCTGGAGTGACCTACTGAATCAGACAGACATGGATGCCTACTGCGGTGTGGAGCGAGGAACTTGGTATTTCATGCTTTGGAAAAAAGCCTCTTGGCACGATGAAGTAGGAAGTCTTAGCCAGGCTGCGTCCATCATTTATAATACTATTTTTTTCTCCTTGTTTTTCTTCTGTTCAGTTTTTGTTTTTCTTTTTGCAATTGTACATAAACTCATAGAAGCAGCTGTGGTAATACTCAGTCAGGAGTCAAAGGTGATACAGAACTCGGTTTACATTGGGCCCAGGCCTCCAACTGCCTGGCACACTGTATACAGAGAGTCGTCTCCGTCTCCACTGCTGTGAGGGGGGGGGAGGTAAGGCCTTTGGGTTTTCTTTATGAAACTGAGCTCCAAGATGGACGGTATTTTGGCTGCCCTCTTCCCCTCAGTATGGCAAAAACACTTGCTGATAAAAATGGACTCCACAATGTACCTTAGTGCTTCAACAAAGAATTCATTGTCTGAGGTGTCCTCAGACAGCAGATTCCATCTGTCAGTCAACAAGTGTTTGTTAAACACCTCTTCAGCTCACTGGCTGTTGCTAATTTTTGGTTAGAACACGAAGACAGTTATCCAGGACCTGCCTGCCTTAGTGTGTGTGTGTGTGTGTGTGTGTTTGTGTGTGTGCGTGCACACAACTATGCAAGGTATAAGACTGTAAGTTTGAAAGACTTGAATGACATTGTGATTGCCTGATATTAATTTACACCATTAATCATTAGACATGGTGTCTAGGTTTGAGGTGGCTTTGGTGTTGGGAGGAGAACAAGAATAATTTTGAGTTTGAGGTATCTGTCTGTACTTCTTCTAACCTTTATTATATTTCTTAGCATAAGAGCTGTTTCAATAGTATACAGATGGTGAGATGAGCGATACAGAAAATCCTAAATGTGAAGGAAAAAGAAAAGAAAAGAAAAATCCTAAATGTAAGGCTCAATCAATCACTGCGTCTCAGCAACCAGAGTTTCAGCTCTAAAGTGACTGGGACCATGGGCATATCGTTATAAAGCCTTCAACACCCACCAGCTAACAGAAGCAAATCTTAGACACTGTCCCAGTCCTGTGCTGCAGGGTGCCCGCCAAAGCCCCTGGTGTGATTAGCCGCCTGTCTGTGTCCTCAGCAAGGAAACCCAAGGCCTGACGCTGGAGGATGATACTCCCCACTTTCCTCCTAAAAGCCGAGCTAGTTTTAAAATTGATTTCTTCTTTAAATATCAATCAGCTTGTCTTCTTGCTGATGTTCGGTGGGGTTTTTGCCCCCTAACATACGAATTAATACCCATTCTCTAAGCAAAGACAAACTACGAGGTTAAGGATCCTGTTAGGGGGAAGAGCTGAGAGAGGAGACTGAGGAGGAATTGTCAGTCCTGGGTGTTGGCAGAGAAGAGTAGGTCCAAGTTGCTGAGAATCTGTGGCTGGCTGGTTGTTACTGAAGGACTTTGGGGACAGGAAGTCCCTTCTAGGGACTGAGAGAGAGCAGGCAAGACTCTGCAAAACGCTGCTGGTCTCCCTCCTGGGCAGTTTGCAATCCACAATAGCCAGGAAAGGAGATACTTACAAACAAGATAAGAATAGTTAAGCACACAAATGTCTTCAGAAGGGTAATTAACATATGTGTAGCTCCTTGCCCTTTACAAAGGGCTTTCACTGGCACTATCTCAATTAACAGTTCAAACAGAG